GTGACACCACCGACACGGGGACATTCTTTCCTTCCAGTGAGATACCGTTAATACTGGGACATTTTTACCATCCAGTGACACCACTCAACGCCAGGGACATTTTTACCATCCAGTGATACACCACCATGCAGGGATATATTTACCTTCCAGTGACACCACCAACGCAGGGACATTTTTACCATCCAGTGACACCACCAATGCTGGGATATATTTACCTTCCAGTGACACCACCAATGCTGGGATATATTTACCATCAGTGACACCACCAACGCAGGGATATATTTACCTTCCAGTGACACCACCAATGCTGGGATATATTTACCTTCCAGTGACACCACCAACGCACGGAGGACATTTTTACCATCCAGTGACACCACCAATGCGCAGGGACATTTTTACCATCCAGTGACACCACCAACGCAGGGACATTTTTACCTTCCAGTGACACCACAACGCAGGGACATTTTTACCATCCAGTGACACCACCAACGCAGGAACCATTTTTACCTTCCAGTGACACCACCAACGCGGAGGGACATTTTTTACCATCCAGTGACACCACCAACGCAGGGACATTTTTAACCTTCCAGTGACACCACCAACGCAGGGACATTTTTACCATCCAGTGACACCACCAACGCAGGGGACATTTTTTACCTTCCAGTGACACCACCAACGCAGGGACATTTTTACCTTCCAGTGACACCACCAACGCAGGGACATTTTTACCATCCAGTGACACCACCAACGCAGGGACATTTTTACCATCCAGTGACACCACCAACGCAGGGACATTTTTTCCAGTGACACCAACTGTAGGACAAACGCTTCAGTACATTTTACCCCAGTGACACACCAGACGGGCAGGGACATTTTGACCATCCAGTTACCCCCCTCCCACCCTTCACTTATTGCGGGGGGTCATTTTTACCATCCAGTGCCCCCAACGGACATTGGACACGACACCACCATCAGCATGGGACGAGCACCGCCACTATCACCCGATCATTTGTGGACCATTCGAGTGATACCACCGCGCCATTTTTCTGCCGCTGCGTCATTTTTTCTCCGCATCCCCAAACACTGATTTCCTGATATTTGACTGTGTGCATGGAAGCCCCCCTCCCTCCTTCACTTATTGGCGGGGGGGTCAGTTTGCCATCTTTGCCCCGGACATTGACGACCCCGTGTCAGCACCGCCTATCACCCCGATCATTTGTGGACCACGAGTATATCCGCGCCAATTCTTTTTCTGCCGCTGCGTCATTGTTTCTCCGATCCCCCAACAAATTTCCTGTTATTCTGACTTGTGAAGGAAGCAGAAAACAACGGCCTCAATTCATGGCGGAGGTCGGAGAGAAATGCGCCTTTTTCACGCCGTTATCGTTAGAAAACGAATCAGAAAAAAAGTCGCCATTTTCACGCGTCAATTTATTGTGCAGCGATGGCCGCCTTCCCCGGTCTGGCCTTTTTGCACGCCGCGGGTTGATTATCAGGCGGAATCTTCCAGTCGGAACGCTTCGTAAATAAGACGTTTGGGCGCGGTGATCCGGAACTCCGGCGAGGAGGTAACGCCATCGGCTCCGCCAGACGCAACTCACCTGTCAGACGGGCATGTGGTTAATTGGAGCAAACTGGAAGATTCGGCGCGTTGGCGTCCATTTATTTCTTTGTTTTCCTCCCCGACTTTTTCTTATCGGACGCGAGGAGGAGGAGGGGGAGGGGGGGGGGAGGGGGGCTGTCTCATGCGCGTCCGTCGGGTACACATGGGAAGTCAGACCCCCGTACTAATCCGCCGTAATTGTTCCGCGGGGGAATAGAAGCGCCGCGCCCGGCAGGGAGCTGTGAATGCCGAATCCGACGCGGAGATTTGCCTTCAGTTAGGCAAACGACGGATAGGCGCGTCCAATCATCTCGTCTGATGTCTCGGGCCGGTCGAGGGGTTTTTTCCCCCGGCGTGCGTTGGCGGCGAGCTCTGCGCCGTGCGTTTACGACTCTATTTTCCCTCTATGATGCCCCAACAGAGAGAATTGGCCTCCTGGAATCCGTAGATGTCGCCAAAAAGATATTTGTAAATAATTGCACTTGGCTGTGACTCTATTCCCCACACCGCCGCCGCTGCCGAACACACCCCCCATATACCCCCGCCGCGCGCACATGCCGCCGCTGTGCTTTTATAAATAATTGACACAGAGGTGACGGATTGAAAGGCATTTTCTCAGCCATGGCGTGCGTTTGGTTTGTTAACGCTCATATTTTTCTGAGCACCTCGCGGAGATAATAACCTGTTGCCATATAAAAAGAACAGGGTATTTGAGCTGGAGGGGGGAGCGGGAGGGGGGATCTGGGAAGGGATTTGGGGAGGGAGGGGATTTGAGCTGGGAGGGGGGATTTGGGGAGGGAGGGGATTTGAACTGGGAGGGGGGATCTGGGAAGGGATTTGAGCTGGAAGCGGGATTTGGGGAGGGAGGGGATTTGAGCTGGGTGGGGGAATTTGGGGAGGAAGGGGATTTGAGCTGGAAGGGGGGATTTGGGGAGGGAGGGGATTTGAACTGGGAGGGGGGAACTGGGAAGGGATTTGAGCTGGAAGCGGGATTTGGGGAGGGAGGGGATTTGAGCTGGGTGGGGGAATTCGGGGAGGAAGGGGATTTGAGTTGGAAGGGGGGATTTGGGGAGGGAGGGGATTTGAGCTGGGAGGGGGGATCTGGGAAGGGAGGGGATTTGAGCTGGGAGAGGTGATTTGGGGAGAGAGGGGATTTGAGCAGGGAGGGGGGATCTGGGAAGGGAGGGGATTTGAACTGGGATGGGGGATTTGGGAAGGGAGGGGATTTGAGGTGGGAGGGGGAATCTGGGAAGGGAGGGGATTTGAACTGGGAGGGGGGATCTGAGAAGGGAAGGGATCTGAGCTGGAAGTGGGATTTGGGGAGGGAGGGGATTTGAGCTGGGAGGGGGGATCTGGGAATGGGAGGGGATTTGAGCTGGGAGGGGGGATCTGGGAAGGGAGGGATTTGAGCTGGGAGGGGGGATTTGTACTGGAAGGGGGTACATGGAGTGGGCAGGAGGGAGGGGTGCCCTGGGCGTGTTTGGGGATTGGAGGGTTGAGCCAGAAGGGGTGATTTGGAGGGAGCAGCTCTGCGTCGCACATTTACGACTCTATTTTCCCTCTTCGACGCCCCAACAGAGGGAATTGGCCTCCTGGAATCCAGAGATGTCTCCAAAAAGATATTTTTAAATAATGGCACTTGGCTACGATTCTATTCCCACACCGCCCCCCCCCCGCTGCCCCCCCCCCCCCCTGCCACCGCTGCCCCCCCCTGCCGCTGCCCCCCCTGCCGCTGCCGCCCCCCCCGCCACCGCTGCCCCCCCCGCCACGCACACATGCTGCCGCTGTGCTTTCATACGTAATTGGCACAGAGGTGACTGATTGAAAGGCATTTTCTCTCGGCGCCCTCGGCCACGGCGTGCGTTTGGTTTGTTAACGCTCACATTTTGCTGAGCACCTCCCGGGGATAATAACCTGTTGTCATAAGAAAACAGAAAAAAAAGCCCCCCCGGCCCCCCCGCCACGATTTTTATTGTGATTTTTAGTCTGTTTTAATTTCGGCGAAGGATTCGTGTTTTATTTATGCCTCTGAGAGTGATAAACATCCCGCGCCGGCGACAGGTAGATTGTAATAACATCTGCATTATGAAGAAGTCATTTCCGATGCGAAGTATCCTTCTCCGATGGCGTTCAATAAACACCGGGGTTCTGCCGCGCAACGCACGGAAGAGGGAACGCACGGAGGGGGGGAACGCACGGAAGAGGGGGGAGGGAACGCACGGAAGATGGAGAGGAATATGAAAAGACACATTGTGGCATGATGAAAACCAACTAAACTGGATATCTAGGCTTGTAAATGGATTGTCTGTGCTTAAGGGGAACTCCGCTTTTGTGGAAAAATACGATGTAGCAAATTAAAAAAAAATATAGCAGATACAAAATTCTGCCAAAAGTATTGGGCCGCCGGCCTTTCCATGAACTTTAATGGCCCCCCTTAGTCCGTAGGGTTCAATATTGAGTTGGTTTCCACACACATGACCTTTAATGGCCCCCCAGTCTTAGTCCGTAAGGTTCAATATGGAGTTGGCCCCGCCCTTTGCAGCTATAACAGCTTCAACTCTTCTGGGAAGGCCCCCCACAAGGTTAGGAGGGTGTCTATGGGAAGGTTGGACCATTCTTCCAGAAGCACATTTGTCAGGTCAGGCACTGATGTCGGGGGAGGAGGCCTGGCTCGCAGTCTCCGCTCTAATTCATCCCAAAGGTGTTCTATGGGGTTGAGGTCAGGACTCTGTGCAGGACAGTCAAGTTCCTCCACCCCAAACTGGCTCCTCCATGTCTTTATGGACCACGGCATCCGACGCTTTGCATTGCACTTGGTGATGGAAGGCTTGGATGCAGCTGCTCGGCCATGGAAACCCATTCCATGAAGCTCTCTACGCACTGTTGTTGGGCTCATCTGAAGGCCACACCAAGTTTGGAGGTCTTTAGCTATTGACTCTGCAGACAGTTGGTGACTTCTGCGCACTGTGCGCTTCAGCATGCGCTGACCCCGCCCTGTCATGTGACGTGGCCTACCACTTGGAGGCTGAGTGGCTGTTGTTCCCAGTGGCTTCCACTTTGTTATAATCCCACTAACAGTTGAGCGTGGAATATTTAGTAGCCAGGAAATGTCACGGATGGACTTATTGCCCAGGTGGCCACCTATCACGGGACCACGCTTGGAGTCACTGAGCTCCTGAGAGCGACCCATTCTTTCACCAATGTTTGTAGAAGCAGTCTGCATGTCTAGGGGCTTGATTGTATACACCTGTGTCCATGGAGGGGATTGGAACAAAACCGGAATCACATGATTTGGGAGGGGATTGGAACACCTGAATCATATGATATGGAGGGGAATTGGAACACCTGAATCACATGATATGGAGGGGATTGGAACACCTGAATCACATGATCTGGAGGGGATTGGAACACCTGAATCACATGATCTGGAGGGGATTGGAACACCTGAATCACATGATTTGGAGGGGATTGGAACAGCTGAATCACATGATATGGAGGGGATTGGAACACCTGCATCATATGATATGGAGGGGATTGGAACACCTAAATCACATGATATGGAGGGGATTGGAACACCTGAATCACATGATATGGAGGGGATTGGAACACCTGAATCACATGATTTGGAGGGGATTGGAACACCTGAATCACATGATATGGAGGGGATTGGAACACCTGAATCATATGATATGGAGGGGATTGGAACACCTGAATCACATGATATGGAGGGGATTGGAACACCTGAATCACATGATATGGAGGGGATTGGAACACCTGAATGACATGATTGGGAAGGGATTGGAGCACCTGAATCACATGATATGGAGGGGATTGGAACACCTGAATCACATGATATGAAGGGGATTGGAACACCTGAATGACATGATTGGGGGGCGGGGGGGACAATACTTCGGGCAATGTAGTGTATAATTGCTACATAAATCACGTTACAATGTTACTACATTTACTGTCAGAGCGGTGAGGATGTAGAATTCCCTTCCACAGTTGGTGATTTCTGTGGGGATTGTCGAAAATTAAAAAAAAACCCCTCTTGGATGGGCATCTTAGTGAACGCAATATACAGGGATATGGGAAATGAAGTGACATAAACACACACACAGGGTGGACTGGATGGACCGGCGTCTTCATTCAACCACCAACTATGTAACTTTAAAAAAACAACAAAACAAATGGCCGTTCCGTTTCAATCTGCAGTTTCTGTAATTTTCTGTAAAATTCAATGCAATATGGTAGCCTGGAGGTTTCCTGGACACAGATAGTATTCAGACCTCCCCCCAGAAATGCCACGTCCTGCTCGTGTGATTGGCTCACTGATTTTCCCAGAAGTCTACACTAAGGAGTCAGATTTTAGGCATCCCCTGCAATAGGAATTTTCTGTTTTGGTGGGATACTCCCCAAAGGGTTAAAGACTTGTAAAGGGATGCAGACCCTGCCGCTTTTCTCATCGGAACACTGAGAGTGCGCTGGGTGATGATAATGAAGCAGACCCTCCCTCTCAGCTTCACTCTGGACACAACAAACAGCTATTTCTTCAGAGCAGCAAAAGGTAGGAATCTGCTGCAAAGTTCGTTACAATCGCGGCAATGAACATCGATGGACTTTAACCTGGTGCTTGTGTGTCTGAGCAGCCAGCGGAGCTGTGATTATCCAGCACCGCCCAGGAGCAGGGAGAGACCTCCCCCGAGGATGAGGGGAGTAGATGACTAGTAGAACAAAGCTGGGAAGTCCTATAGATTATAATTTTTTTGTTTTAATTTTGTAGCGTTTTTCAAAACTTTCTTTTTATATCTTTTGTAATTTCTTTCTCAGCCTTTTATTTTTTCTTCACTTGTGGAGCCCCTTAAAAGTCGCCTAAATCCCGAGTCGCCTAAATCCCGAGTCGCCTAAATCCGAGGCGCCTAAATCCCGAGTCGCCTAAAATCCCGAGTCGCCTAAATCCCGAGTCGCCTAAATCCCGAGGCGCCTAAATCCCGAGGCACCCCAATGCAAAATGTAACAAAACACAAATGTTACTTCTCACTCTACAACCTGAGATCGGGACATTGACCGGTCATCTTGACTGAATGAACGTCATATCAGAAGCCCCTCCATCATATTAGGGGGCCCCCCCCATCACATCAGAGCCCCTCTTTACATTTGAATCCTCCCTTCACATCAGAGCCCCCCTTTACATTTGAATCCTCCCTTCACATCAGAGCCCTCCCCCCCCCCCCCCCCCCCATACATGAAAGTCCCTCCGTCACACAGTGCTCTCATCACATCAGGTTTCCCCCTGATCACCACAAAGTCACAGAAGCCCCCATTACACAGCCCCCCCCCCCCCCATCACAGACAGGGCTGGACTTACATCTCAGGAGCCTATAGGCAGAGAATTCACACTCACCCCTGAGCATCAAATCCTTCTGCAAGTTAAAATTCCCCCAAACAAAAATGCAAAAATTCCCCATCCTCACAGTCCAAATCCCCTTCCCAGCACATATTTTTGCCACCCCCCCATCCCACCTTCCAGCTCAAATCCCCCTAATTCCCCACAAATCACCCCTCTCAGCACACATTCGCTTTCCTTCCAAATCCCCCCTCCTAGCATAAATTCTCTCTCCAAATTCCCCATCCTAGCATAAACCCTCCCCCCTAAATCCCCCCTCCTAGCATAAATCCTTTCCCAAAAATCCCCCCTCCTAGCATAAACCCTCCCACTAAATCCCCCCTCCTAGCATACACCCTCCCCCTAAACACACCCCCTCTAGCATAAAATCCTTTCCCACAAATCCCTCCTCCTAGCATAAATCCTCATAAATCCTCTCCCACAAATCCCTCCTCCTAGCATAAATCCTCATAAATCCTCTCCACAAATCCCCCTCCTAGTGTAAGTTCTCCCCCAAATCCCCTCTCCTAGCATAAACCCTCCTCCTAAATCCCCCCTCCTAGCATAAATCCTCTCCCACAAATCCACACTCCTAGTCTAAATTCTCCCCCCAAATCCTCCCTCCTAGCACAAATCCTCTCAGAAATCCTCACTCCTACCATAAACCCTGCCCCCCCCAAATCCCCCCTCCTAGCATAAACCCTCCCCCCAAATCCCCACTCCTACCATAAACCCTCCCCCCAAATCCCCACTCCTACCATAGACCCTCCCCCAAATCCCCACTTCTAGTGTAAGTTCTCCTCCCAAATCCCCCTCCTAGCACAAATCCTCTCCCACAAATCCCCCCACTCCTAGCACAAGTCCCCTCCAAATTCTCCCCTCCTAGCACAAATATTCTGCCCACTAACACATACATCCCCCTCCCATTTTTCCTTTTAGCACAAATCCCCCCCCCCCATTTTCCCTATTACCCTTCCCTACCCAGCACAAGCCCCCCCCCCCCCCCCCCCCAATATTACAGAAGTAGTGTGGAGGTGAGAATTCTCTGTTCCCCTCCAGGCCGTCCCCCCATGACCCGCTGCAAATCTGGACAGGAGAATTGCCCACTCCTACCATAGATCCTCCCCCAAAAGCCCACTCCTAGTGTACGTTCTCCCCCCAAATCCCCTCTCCTAGCACAAATCCTCTCCCCCCAAATCCTCACTCCTAGTGTAAGTTCTCCCCCCAAATCCCCTCTCTTAGCATAAACCCTTCCCCTAAATCCCCCTCCTAGCACAAATCCTCTCCCCCAAAATCCCCACTCCTAGTGTAAGTTCTCCCCCCAAATCCCCTTTCCTAGCACAAATCCTCTCCCAAATCCCCCCCCCTAGCATAAACCCTCCCCCCAAATCCCCACTCCTAGTGTAAGTTCTCTCCCCCCAAATCCCCCCTCCTAGCACAAATCCTCTCCCACAAATCCCCACTCCTACCATAGACCCTCCCCCCAAATCCCCACTCCTAGTGTAAGTTCTCCTCCCAAGTCCCCCATCCTAGCACAAGTTCTCTCCCCCCCAAATCCCCGTTTTCGTTCGAATTTCGCACCATTAGTGGGTCACAAAAAAAACGGCCGATTTTCTTTCGATCATAAGATTTGAGTGATCGAGCGTGTTGGAAATTTTTTGAAAAAACAAAAGAATTTTGAATTAATGATGTGAAAATCATGCGGGACATTTTTACAGCGGCTGTTTTTGGCTTTTGACATTTTTTATATATATATAAATTGAAATATTATTTTGGAATATATTGAATACGGCCAAAATTGTAGTATTTCAGATATATGTCAAAATACTTTTCTTCCATGTGGGTACACCTGCCAGACAACACAGCAATGGGGGAGTCTTGTTCCCGGGGGGGGGGGGTGGAGCCTGATGGGGATTCACAGACATTAGTAGCCTACCAGGTCCTCTCCCCTTGTGATTGATTGATTGATTGTGATTGAAGGCAGACAGTGTGCGGATCCTTAGCCAGTACACAGCCTTCTATTGGCTTTAGAATCTGCCTACCTACTGCTGTCAAATCACAAGGAGGGCGTAGCATGATGGGAATTAGTGTTCCAGTTTCCCCATCAGGCTTTCCACCCACTGCAGTGTCATTGGTTGCTAGGAGGCAGTCAGCTGCAAAGCTGCCTTAACAACCAGTGACAGGGAGAGAGTAAATATGTACCTTTGCTACACATCGTACAGAGACAGGCACTCTGCACTCTACCTATCTCTGTACGCCAAGTTAGAGTAGGTCCTATTTCCCTCCGATTTTGTTATCTACAAACTAGAGGCAATTATTTTTGAATTTGGTGAATTATTACTACCCTCTGAAAACAAACATAAATGTGGAACTTTCATTACGGCCAAAATTGTAGCATTTCAGATATTTGGCGATATATTTGGGAAGAATATTTTAAAATATATGTTCAAATGCATTTTTCTTCCACGTGGGTGTGTAGGACACATTGGACCTTTGCACCTTGTTACCCAACATATTCTCCGTTCTGTAGTTCCTCACCAGCGAGGCAGTAGGGGGTCAGTGGAGCCCCCAGGGGCCCGGGGGGCAGTAGGGGGCCCCATGAGATGCCCCTGGTAACTTTTTTATGGCTTTTTTTAGTTTGGCCAAGGACACAGGGGCCCTGATCCCCTATTGCCCCGGGGGGCCCCCTGAGTTTTCAGTCCGCCCCTGCTCGCCATCGTTCAGGCCCCGAACACTCTGTCGGAGCGTTAGGAAATCGTTTCGACATTTTTTTTTTTTACAAGCCCGCGAGGTTGTAATGTCGAGGACATCTATTGCAAACACTTATCTGGATTGCATTGGGAAAATTGACGGGGGTAATTAGAACCCTCCCGGAGCAGAGGTAAACATGGGCGCCCCCAAGAAAAAAAAAACACACAAAAATCTTTTTATCGAGGCAAAAATTGATTGCCCCCAAGTTCGTTAAATGCTCAAGGTTTTCCCAAAAAAACCGCTTTTGAAGTCTCATTAAGCCTGGGGAAAAATACACAATAAATGAGCCGATA